CTTTGTTGGTATGTGGTGCTGAGGATCGAACCCGGGCCGCACGCATGCCAGGCGAGCGCGCTACCGCTTGAGCCACATCCCCAGCCCCAAAATTTCTTTCTTATGGAGCGATTGTTCTAGTGGATAATACATAGGAAGTGGTCAACAATTCAATATAGTTTTTTTGTAGTGTTGGGGATGGAACCCAGGGCCTTGCACATGCTCAGCAAGTGCTACCACTGAGCTATATCCCCAGCCCCAATATAATTTTGGGGGGATTCAGGGGCTGAGGATGTAGTACAGTGGTAGAGCATTTGCTGAGCATGTGCAAGCTTCTGGGTTCCATCCCTAGCACTGCAAAACAAAAATAAAAATTTGGGGAGATAGACATAAACATAACTGTGGAGAAAAGCATATAGAGAGCTGTAAACAAAACACAACAAACCCTATTTCCAACCAAACCCTCCTAATTCAATTAGAGGCCTTGTATAACCTGTAAAAGAATTTGGGGAGTTGGTGAAGGAATGAGTCCTCCCCTGCTGTCCTAACTGAGGCTGGTCTCAAACTTGCAATCTTCCTGCCTCTGGTCAGCTGGAAGACCTACAACTGTACTTGAAGGCCCAGGATTGTTCTTTAGTGACCCTAATTTCCTAAGGTCTGGAGCTTGAGGATGGGGGTGAAGGTGGCACTGGATCCTGCATTGTCACATGTGTCTAATCAATTTTTCTGCTACCCAGATTCTATTTGAGTCATCTGGGTTTTATTTTGATTCAGTCTGCTACCTCCTCCTACTCTTTGCAGGCAAGAATGGGACAAGAAAGAAAAAGTCTTTCTCCAGAGCAAAAGTCATGGAAGTGGGAGACAGTATCTCCCTGATGGCTTCCTAGGTGGAAACTTGCTAGGGCCCTGCTTTCTCTCTTACCAGTAATGACTAGCAGTTGGTCCTCTCTCACTGCCCCTGGGAAGGCCAGTGAGGAAGGTTTCACAACTGCCTGGCCATGCTTCCCCAGGCTTGCCTTTCCCTTTTCCACCTCCTCTCCCCTTGCCACGCCCCTGGATTCTACTTTTTTCTGTCTCCATGATGAGCCTGGATAGTTATTAAGAGTCTTAGGAGAGATTCTCACCAATCTCCAGCTGTCTTAGAAAGATGAAGCAATGACTCTCAAGTCACATAATTTCATCCCTTGATTCACTCAAAGAAAATTCCTTCTTATCTTTTTTTTTAATATTTTTTTTAGTTGTAGGTGGACACAGTATCTTTAATTTATTTAATTTTATGTGGTGCAGAGGCAGTGCCTCCCGAATGCGAGGCAAGTGCTCTGCCACTGAGCTACAACCCCTGCCCTTAGCTTTTTAGTAGTTAGCTTAAATGCCATCACATCAGGAGACCTTGGGTGACTCTGAAGCAATTTTGTCCTCCTATTCTTCTCTGTTGCTGCCCGTTTGTTTATTCCTTTTACCTTTTATCAGAATATGTAATTGTCTTAATGATTTGTCTTTTTAATTTTCTGACCCTTCTGAGTATAAGCTACATGAGGTCAAGAGAGACATGCTCATCACAGCATTTCCAGTGTTGAACACACATAGGTGTTCAAAAAATCTTTGTTGAGTAAGCGTATAGTGAACAAGTACCCTCAGGGTGCCCAAGGATACAAAGCTGTATGGAACACAGTCCCTGCTCCCAAATTTATCTTTTGGTGTGATCAACAGAACTAGTAATGGGGAGAATATAATGAGATCAGGTCCAGATCTGGTGCTGAGGGACATGTTAGAGCACTTGAACCAGGCCTAATCTCTGGTTTTTGCCCCCTACCTGCCAGGTTAGAAGAACTCTTTGGCTCCATCTCACCAGGTGACTTTATTTAGGCCGTACCCTAGGCATCCAAGTACCAGCAGGGGCTGATGACATTCTAGAGTGTGCTCAGAGGGTACTTGGACCTACTGCCTTTTCCAGCAAGGAAGGGATAGCTTGTCAGTTGATTTTACGTTTGTGGCAAAGTCGGTGCTCACTGAGGGTCTCAGAGACAACCCCATCACACCTTCTGGCCTATACTCCAATCTTTCCTGGTCTGTTTCAGAAGAGAATTTGTGAGCACTGAGGAAGGGGACATCTGCCTCACCCTTGGATTAGGGGAAGACACACATCACAGCCTTCACATCTAGAGGGTAGGTGGGTCATTCCACATGGCTCAGAGAAAGCTGGTGCCTGGGAGGGCAAGGGCTGACCTGCCTTCCCTTCTGGTCTATAAAAGGGAGCAGCCAGCAGGAAAGGCTGCAAGGGAAGCTAGCAGGAGGAGGAGGAGGAAACCAGTGAGAAATCCTTTGAAGAGAGCTCTTGCTGGCGGTCCTGGGGGGCGCTGCTTACCCTAGTCCAGTCTTCTCCCCACAGTGAAAATGACAGTTGCTATTGCGTTTTCAAAGCTCACAGGATGCAAGAGACCTTTTCTTTCATCGTCCCCCTCTCCAATACAGCCCCCCCAATCAAAAAGGATCCCAGCAGCGTTTATAACAAAATGCTGACCCCACTAAGAGCCCCCTCCCTGGGCTATGCCCCCTTGCAGGGTTTCCTTCCACATCTCTTGAGGATACTTTTTAGTCACAGTCTTCCAATTTCCCCTGGTCATTCCCCACCTGCGGCTAGGTTGACCCTAACTCTGAATATTTTTTAATCTACCAGGGAATTAAAATGACTCATTAACACCTTCCAGTCATTCACAGTGTACCTTTAGTTCTGATCCCTGTTCTTCCCCAATAAAGGTGAGGGGTAGAGTATGATATCCAATCTAACTCAGAGATTAAATAACTTACCCAAGGTCACACAGTGGGATAATGGGGGCGGGGTAACAAACTTGTGTCTCCTGTCCAGCGGTTTGGCAGATGCTCAAATAATCTTTGTGGAAAGGGTAAAATATGTTGTTTCTTCATTTTTCTGGCCTGTGGACACTTCTGTGTGATTGGGGGGGGGGATGTCCGTCTTCCTAAATGAACATTTGATCTTAGTTCACTCTTACTTTCGAAGTTACATATTTAACTAATCTCTCCAACTGCACCCTGTGTTCAGTGCCCCCTCCTCCCAGAGCAGAGGAGTAGACAGGTCTAACAATTTTCTTCTCAAATGAGCAAAGATCAAAACCATACAAACAAACAACCTCACTTTCTCTCAAAATACACAGCCCCGAACCAAACGGGCAAAA